TTCGAAACTACCACCTATTCAATTTTTCAATTATTTACCAAAATTTATACTCACAAACATTTATTTGATTGTTTCAAAAGTACCAACCATCCGAATAGTTTACCAAAAATTATTTGGGAGGTTGCCAATGTGTTAAAATTACCTACTCTTATAAGAAATTATCAAGTCTTTTAAAAAATTACCAACAATTGTGCTCATTTAGCAACATTTGCTGGCAAAGCTTAAGTTACCAACTTTTCAATATAATTATTAACTTTATATGAATAATTTATCAACATTTATTTGATTGTTTGGTTTTCACCCACTTTTTCAATAATCAACCAACAATGAAGCTAGAAACTCTTATACGAAGTTACTATCTTTTATTTGATAAGTTTTAACACATTAGTAATTACTAATGTGGTGGCTCAACTAATGTTGGTAATTTGATATGAACATTAATCTAGGAAAGTAAATATAGGTAAATTTGTGAAGTAGTTGATAATTTGAAGGAATCAAATGGCACGAGTACTTTTCCAAACACATTAGTAAGTTACTAACGCGTGACATGCTAAGCAAGTTCTCAATCAAACTTTTTGTAAGAAACAGGATGCGATAGTTACCAACGCTTTTGTCAATTCATCATCATGGTGCAGTGTTTTGGATTTTGCCTCATTGAACACCGGAATCGCCCCACAATAGCAGAGATGATTTAAATTAACAATAAAAGCATGCCCTTCTAAACTCATTCTAGTTAAGTATCTAGCTGTGGTTTAGACGTGGAGCTGTGGATGGTTTAAAATTGTGTACACAGGATATGATTCTCTGGACAAATCAGTGTCTAAGTTAGGAGCATGAGCAAGAGGCATATATATTTGGATCAGACAACGGCAAAAACCGAGGAATTAAGTATAAGAATTAGTACGGGTGATCAATTTTGGGGTGAGTTAATTCCTGATCTAGAACCGAGAACTGACCCTAGGACCCCTTTTGAAATCGAGAACCGTATTGATCGGTCTATTTTATGTTTTGGGTAACAAAACCCAAGTTCTTATATTATATATATAAAAGTTGCACCATTTTGGATGTGAACATATGTTGGTTAACTACTTATGTTGTTATTTTTTTTATGTTGAAGACCAGGTTCAATGTATTTTCTTTTTTGAAGAGGCTTCAAAATTGGTTTAATCCGGGAACTAGATTGTTTTTTAACCCAAGAATCAGCGGTTCCGGCCTTGGAATCAAAAGCCGAATCGGTCCTAGGGCAATTCTAGGTTTGCGGGAACCTAACTGGTTCACCCCAAAACCAGCCCTGAACCCGTCGGTTTACGTCAATTTGTTCCAATACTCAGGTTGAACCGACCTGGTGCTCACCTCTAAGGATTAATAAGTATTCAAAAACGCAAACATCTATTGTCTACGTGTTTAGGGGTAACTAGACGTGTGATCCTCAACTTGAGCCACACTTGCAATTAGTCCTATTAACCTTTCCCTTGGACAACAAAGTCCTCCAATTCGTCAAAATGGCCAGATTGGGTGCGTCCAAATTGGTCGACAAAGGCCCCTCGCTTGGCGTTTTCCTTTCTTTCCTTCAAGAAGAAGCCGGCACCCTCTTCTTCTCTTTGGACGTCTTGTAAGCCGGGTAAGGTATATGTGCTTGGGATTCGCTCCAATCTATCTAGTATGTGTCATCACTGTAACACCCGTTAAAAAATATCGATTTTAACTACCAGAAAGCCATTTCATCCTTGAGGAAACTAACTGGAGAAGCGTTCAGCTCAAAACGCCTTCTTATCTCGTCCCAGGCGATCAGCGAAACCCCGATATTGGCAGATATCGTTGACGGGGTCCGGAGAAAAGCACTGAAAGATGTGGAAACCAGAGGTGAATCTGATTAAGTATTGCTCCACGGCTGTATAGAAGGGAAAGATCATCGACAGAGTCGATAAGCATTCTCTCTGCAGTTGTTAAAGCCTCCGCGGTGTTCATGCAGGTCACTGGATCCGACGAGGGTGGTCGGTCATGGCATCCTTCATCTCCGGACACATGGATGAAGACGACTATGGAGATCCATACGAGTTCGATCCGTGGAGATGAGAGGTAAGCATCTATCTCTACTTTGTGCGCAGACTGGAGAATGAATCTGATAAACTCCCGCCGAAGCAGCAGTAAGCTAAGTCAGTACTAGGTTGGTGGAACAACACTAGATGGGCTTGGTCGTTATGGATATGCAGTGGACTTAGTCCGACCGTTAAGTTTGCAAAGTGATGAAGTTCTTTATTTAGCCAAAAAGAGGACACATTGCATAAGATCAGTTCTAGACCGGTTCAACCCTGGAATGGCTTGTTAGGATTTTGAAATCGAGAACTGGACCGATTCTGCCATGAACTGGACCAACTAGGCCGATTCTAGTTGTTTTTGGGCTTGGGCCGGAGTTGGAGCACACCCCTAATTTCTCCTGCTTTTCCGTAGCAAATCCATCTAGCGATGGCACGGGGGTTGTGCTCGTGTTGTGTCGGCATAAGGGTTTTGTACATAATAGGTTAGCTCAAACACGACATGATTAATCATGTTGACATAGGTGACATGAACACGAATTGAAAATTAAAATTAATGAGTTAACATGATAAGACCCATGAACACAATTTAATGACAGGTTGATGGATCAACACAATTACACGACCTAGCATGAAATGAGACAACCCGCCAAATGAACTTGACATAAAGTATCCTCAATATTCACAAAATCTATTTACAAATAAGGAGAATTCATCAATAAAATACACTCGAATAGAATGAAACCACATGTTGATAGCCGATGAAGTACCACCAATTGAAAATCTTAATGGTGAATGACATGCAAAGAATTGTTTTCTAACTATTAATGTCTAAACGAGTCACATATATGTGTGTTGGCACTAACTCACCTAAGCATGTTATAAGGGTCAATTTCATGTCAGGCGAGTCAACACGATAATCAATCGTGTCTCACAAATTGACGCGAAATTGACTCGAACACGATCATTCTTAACCAAAATCCGCTAATTTCATGTCATTTTGTGTCATAGAAGAATACCACACCTAAATCCATTTCATTAAGATGGGTGCACGTGCTAGCAAGTTGTGGTCTGCCCATGAAACAATCTCTTCTTTTTTGGTAAACCATAAAATAATGCTTTAACGTAATTTATTCAAAAAGAGAGAGAGAGAGAGAGAGAGAGAGAGAGAGGAAACGACAAAGAGCAGTTCATTTTATGAAAGAAAAATCCAGGGGCATCCGGCTAAAATTTACTCTGGTTTTTAAAGTTAACAACGATTTATTTAAATTTTAAAAGATTATTCTTATGCAAATCTAAGTGTCAATATTTTTTTATATTATGAAGATTGTCAATGTTCATTCTTCTGAAAAAAATCATAATGTGTAACACTGCAAAATCAGAAAAGAACAAAGAACAAGTTAGAGTCAATAAAACACATTTTTAACGTTAAATTTACATGTTACAAGTGTAATTTCTCTCACCAGAAGATATAAAATGAGCATTCCTAATGAAAGACCAAGTCCTACCATGTACTTGTAGTCACCTCCAACTGCTACAGAATTATATTACTATGTTATTGTATGTTATGCTCAAGTTTTGAAGCAGTCAAATCTAAATTGAGATTAGTGGGTAGCCAACTAATAGACGTGCACGACCACGATATACTAAATAGAAAAAAAAAATTCAGAATCGATAAATTTTTTTAACCATGCATGATGCTCCATTGATATCTTGACAAATGTCAACTGTTGAAACAAATCTCGTTACTATAAATTAATGATTGAGATTAATCGAGATACCACGGAAAGTATCACATTGGATAGAAGATTCTCGCCCAAACAGAGGAAAAGAAGGATGGTGATAGTTGGTCTGGGCCAATACTATATGAGCACCCGCTGACTCTAACTCAAATTGAATGTTATTACGCGCGCTCAAAAAAGGTGAATCTATACATACATCAGTAGTGAGCAGATGAGTGCAATGTGAAATTATGATTTAATTTTTCATTTGTCAATGTGAGATGCTTGTTCATATCCTTAGCTGTTTCGATTTGAAGGTTAATATATGGATGTTTTATTTCGAGTGGGAGAAAAATGGGTATGTTCTATCGACTTCTTCAAGATTTCATCGATTTACGATGGTCCATATGAATTGAAGGGGAAATCAAGTAAAGACAAGCTACTAATAAAAAAAGTAACTATAAATTTAATTAAAGTATCTAAGAAGTTATTTGAAAAAATATACACCAGGTTAATATCACAAAAAACTCCAAACTGATATACCTGTGACAAATTTATCCCAAACTAATTTTTGACCATAAAAAACTCAAACCCGGTACACCCGTGACAAATTTACCCTCGCTAGTTTCCGTTAAATTTTACCTTCAAATTGTTAAGTTAGATGACACGTGACAAATTTAGGGTTTTACCTCTCTGTTTATCACAGATTTACCAATTTTTTTTTATTTTTCATGATATTAATTCAATTTAACAAAGGGTAAATTTGTTAAAAATATACTGGTTTGGGATTTTTGATGGTCAAAAAATTAGTTTGGGGTAAATTTGTCACAGATATATCAATTTAATATTTTTTATGGTCAAAAAATTAGTTTGAGGCAAATTTATCATATATGTATCAGTTTCGAATTTTCCGTGCTATTAATCCTATAATATAACCCTTTTGGTCGGGTATGATAATAATACAATTTAATAAGTCAAAGTCGGAGCTGCCGCTTTAATATAAAGTAGTAACCTAATCTTGAAAAAGCGTCGTGTCCGAAGGGCCCTCCCGGTCACATGTTTCTTCGCTCGATCTCTCTCAATCTCTCTTCCCACGGCCTTTCGTGACTTGGACCGACCCAAATTGCACCTGCAAAAGGCCAAGGATGCTCTGCTGTTTCCCCGGCCTCGTGCAAAGAATTGCGAAAGCAACCAATCAGAGATTCTGGGTTTGCGGAAAGACGACGAAAGCGAGAGGACCCAATGAAATTCATGCTCTGTTCGAACTGAATTCGCACCGTGCCTTCTGAATAGTCAACTCTGCCCCTGTTTTGGTTTTCTGGGGTCGATCTTGATTTGCGAGGGAAGAAGAGATATGGTGTCGTCGCCGCTCGATCTGTTGAAGGAGCATCTCCCCGTGGAGCAAGGCTCCGTGGTTCTGTCCGGGGACGTCAAGACCGGTCTCGTTCTTGTCGATGTCGTGAATGGGTTCTGCACGGTCGGTGCTGGGAATCTGGTAATGCTCCGGTCCATCTCTTCTTTCTTCCGCTTAGTTTTCGACGTCATTCCTTTGATGGTCAGCGATCCACACGCTCGATATGGACGTGTTCCTATTGTTTCTGGGTGCTCAGACATGGGGCAGATAGATTTTTATTATTAACTTATCTTTCTGTATCTCGGTTGAGTATTTCTTGAATCCAGTTCAGGATGATAGAGTAGGCATTCCATGTTTATGTTCTTTGTCTCTTGGTTTTGTTTTCATGAATTGATGAAGCATGATGGTTACTTCTCTATTGGGTTGGTCCACAATATGTTAAATTCTAAAGATTTGTTTTTGAATTTGTAATAATTTATAGCTGAGATTGTTTGAAAGTTGGAAGTAAAGACTGCAAATAAGTCTGTTGTGAAGCTTGGGCAAACATAAAAAAAATAAAAAATATATGGTCAGGCAACTATCGAATTGCAAAATATTCAAATGATGGTTCATTGCTACCGATACGAGTTCATGGAGGATCTCATAAAATTGATATTGTGTCCGCCTTTCTTACTAGGCACCTAGGCAGCCCGATAAGCAAATCCAGGATATGGTCGATGAGTCGGTGAGACTTGCTCGAGTCTTCTGTGGGAGGAATTGGCCTGTTTTCGCTTTCCTAGATTCTCATCACCCAGATGTTCCTGAGCACCCTTATCCTCCGCATTGTATAGTCGGAACGGATGAAGCAAAGCTGGTACCAGGTAGTTTGCCACACAATTTCTTTAATTTTGCAGCAATTTTCTGAGCAAGCGATATATAGTACTATTGCCTCGTAGAGTTGGAGTTGGCTTATGTGTCTTTCTTATGATACACAGCCCTGGAGTGGTTAGAGAATGAACCGAATGCTACCCTAAGGGCTAAAGACTGTATCGATGGCTTTCTCGGTTCAATGGAGAAAGATGGTTCTAATGTATTTGTAGACTGGATCAAAAGCAATCAAATCCAAGTGGCAAGTATCTATTCTTTAAGATGACGGGCAAAAGAATTGTCTGGGCTTTCTGTTTAGAATATTCTTTGTGGATTAATATTTGTCTTTTGTTCCTATTCGGTTTGTTCTGGATCAAAAGATTTACTTGTCTCTTGTGTTTGTAGATACTTGTGGTGGGGATCTGCACAGATATTTGCGTTCTCGATTTCGTGTGCTCCGCCTTGTCAGCAAGAAATCGCGGTCTTCTTGCCCCTCTAGAGGGTGTGATTGTGTACTCACGTGCCTGTGCAACTTTCGACATTCCCGTTGATGTTGCCAAAATGGCTAAGGACGTTACTGCCCATCCACAGGTACTTTCAATCTTCCACATCAACTTTCGACATTCCTGTTGAACTGCGCGAGTCCGTGGGAGGACTCATTGATCATTCATTCGTACGGTTTCAGTCGATCATCCGCATGAGCAACCAATACTGCGCAAATTTTATTCCCTGAACATCGTTTTCTGATCTTCAATTAATCGTATTGTGATCATGACATATACTGAAGTAAGGACAATTACCGGTAGGTTCAATTCTTTGGGATCTCCGAGCATGAATGATCATCAGCTTGCAAGACTGTAGAATTGATTTTGAATGTTGCCCCTCCTGGTCAATTAAGAGACAGAGTAGTTAGAGCAACAGGAACTGGGGGATATTTTAGAACTGGAAGGTCAAGCAATCTGTAAAAATGTAAAATGTTGAAACGACTATAGTGAGCAGTGCATTTCGGGATGCAAAGAATGGGTCAGAAGGTTCTCCAGTACAGTTTTGCTAGCCCAATTCTGGCGACATTTCTTGAATTCAGTGGAACGGGAGGTGAAGAGAAATTTCAAGTTTTTTCAAGTTAGTTTTCAGATACAAGGAGAAACTTGAAGAAAATAGTAAAATTGCGACACATCAGAACATTTCCGACAGAGTCATGGTCTACTTTATCTCTTGGTTTCGTCATTTGTAAATCCCAGTTGAACTACAGGACAAAGGCCTTCAAAGTCATACAAGTTATAATGTTATATCCCTTCACTGTTGCAAAACGACAAAAGGGTACTGTCTTCACCAGAAAAGAGGTTTTAGATTTTATTCATGAAAAGAGGTTCTCAAAGCCGAGATATCAGCCTTTTAATTTAGAATGCCTGCGTCTGTCCTCTGTTTTTTTCATTTTTGGGATGATCAGTTTAAACAAGATATCATGCCCGCAATCCTTAATATCTAAATCTTTCTTTACAGGATCTCATGCATCACATTGGACTTTACATGGCCAAGGGAAGGGGAGCCAAGGTAGCATCGGAGGTGTTGTTTGGCGCTTGAAACATTGCTTGTTGGCAGCTGTAAATATTGAGAATTTGTTTATATGTAATAATTACTTCAATGTTGATACAATTTGATGATATCTAAGTGGATAACTGCGGTATTGCCTATTAATGTTGCTTCTGTGAATTTTAGCTCGAATGCCTATCTAGTATCTGTACTTAGGTGGATGTCCTTGTCCGATTGTCCTTTCTGCATTTAATTTCAGTGTATTTCCTATAAACTCGAGGTGTAAATAGAGGTTCAATAACTGAGCCTTTCTGTTTTTGAATGTCAAAAGCAATTCGGATAGGAGGCCTGTAATTTATATAGCCAGCGGCTTGCAGAGAGTGTGCCAAAAATGAATTGTGGTCTAGGACACTTAATTGGTCACAAGACGAGAAGCAAAATGAATCTCTTAGCGAAGTATATATAATTTGCTTAAATCTCCTATATGCATCACCATTTGAGCATTTATGTTCATAATCAATCTCGGTTTTCTACTAAGAAGCCGCTGTAGAACCAAGCCAACCGAAGTTGTTATCTTTTCTGACAATTCACAACTGAACCTGGCAAATCATACGCATAGCTGACCAAAGGGAAATGTGGTCTTCGATCAGAAATTTGAACTATTGAAAGTGGAAATGCTTAACCTGATAGCAGTTAAACTGATCCTAAACTCTTTTGCGTGATTAGTTCTTGTCTAACAGCGAACAGTCGCTTCTCTGTTTCTTCCAGAGGAGAGATCTGCTTCTGTCATTTTACAGATGACAAAAAAGATACGCTTGTTCAACTTCCGAACCATGGTACAAAAAAACGAACGTGTAGCTGCCTAAAATAAATGCTCAGGAAAATGATCACCGTAATCCAGCAGAACGAACGAGATAAATCAAAAAGGAACAGGGAAAAAAAAATTGGCGCTACTGATATGCTGCTTTGAAGGCATTGTACTTCCTATGCATTGCAGGGCTCATGGCAGTGAAGAGTGAGGGTCTTTGCTTCTTCGATTTGATACCGAAAATGAATGAACGCAGGGGGACTCGTGTCTTGCTGACAGAGTGTCTCAAGTAGCTGCTTTGCTGACTGTTTCTTGATCCCGAAATTCCGAATCCCTCGTTTAGGTTTGCCAAAGTCTTCTCGACCTCCACTTGAAGCCCGGATATGTGGTCCAAACCGGCCTGCAGTTCATCTGCAACCTTGTTATTCTCTTGTTTCATGTTTAGGACCTCGCCTTGGAACTTAGCAGCTTGGTAGCTGGTGAATTTGAAGTCATCGTCTTCCGCGCTCGCTTTTAGTGCTTTGGTGATCTCTTCTTGGATATGACACAGCGACGAGAATCTGCATTGCTGCTCGTCTTTTAGTGTCATGCACTTTTCTAGCCAGACGGTGAGCTCGTTTTGAATCTCTCTCAAATGCTTGTATATTGGCTTTACATCTGATCTCAGAGGTCCTGACCGGCTTCCTTCTTTCTTCTTTTCTTTTTCCAGGAGTTTTGTTGTCTCAGCTTGGAGGTCCTCGACTGCGGTTTCGTAGTTTTGGATCTGATGTAATGCTGTGCTGAACCTGAGCCAGAATTCCAAGTTCTCCTCCAGCAGTTGATCGATATCCATCCTGAATTTTTCTTCGATCTCCGAAGTCGACTGAGGCTGATCGGCGAGAATCAACTTAATATCATCTTCTGTCTCTTGCTCTTTAGTTATGTGGGTTTCAGCCTTAATTGACTCAGCATTGCCCTCTAAAACCGTTTGCAGAAGATTTAGTTTCTGACGAAGTGACAAAATCTCTTCATCCTTCATGGCATTTGAGGTCTTCAGGTCCCGCAGCTGCACGCTCGTATCAAGGAGGCCATCCGGGGTTTTCTTCTCTGTGGTGGTGAGCTTCTTCTTGGCTTCCTTATAATTTCGAAGAACTGCCGTGTACTCCGTCAGAAGAGTCTGCTCTCTATTTTCCATCCCTTTAAGGAACAATTCCTTCCAGTTTGGTTCTTCTTCCACCAATGTCTCTTCTTGTACTCCATCTTTCCACGAAACATGCATCTTCCGTGGTACGATGTGTGGCTTGACTTCATTTTCCGACTGTGTACCATTGGGCTTAACTGGAAGAATTTCCAAATTTTCTTCGGGCAGGAGAGAACTATTTTCCAAGGCACTAGAATGAGATTTCTGAACATGTTCGACCCCGTCCTCTCTAATATGGGTTGTTGTTTCTGCATCTTTGTCACGATTATCACTGGAACCCAATGGTTTAGACTCGAGTGACCCGCTATTGACAAGAGATGCGTCTTGAATTGGCGATGAACTTGAAGATTGCAGCCCCTCATCTGCTTGCGATGATGCAAATGTAACAAGACAGTCCCCATCTGGATTTTCTTTTGGCAATTTCCCAAACCTGCTGTTAATATCTCCTTTCTCTGCTTCAGCTGAAGCTTCTGCTTTTTTAGGCAGTGAAGCGACTTCCTGCTCTTCATCTGGCCTCACGCTTCCCAGATTGTTGGACAGGTGTTCTAAGTTGTAACTTGCTTCGGTGAAATGCGTACGTAGATTTTTGTATTGATCCTCGAGGCTTCTGTTAAGATCCTCCGCTCCGTGCAGCTTGTCTTCCATTTCCCGCATCTTGTTCTGCATCTCGTCTGAGCCATTGATCGAGTTCGCCTTATCGTCTTCCAACAATTCAAATTGTGTTTGAAGACCATTGGTTTCTGCTCTTAATCTTTCTATAAGGGCAGTTTGAGATGAGACTGCAGTTTCCAAGATGATCACCTTGTTGACAAGCTCATCGATCTTCTCTGCCATTTCGCTCACAGTCAGAGATGTACCGAATTCGGCCAGAAAATGTTGCTCGATCTTTTCTTCCAGAGTTCGTAACTCTTCTTCTCCTTGTGCACTTACTGCTTCTTGGCTCAATCTCTCCGCCTCGATAGATGGAATTTCTTCGCTATCCTCTTTAGGAAGGAATTTTTTCTTCAACGACTTGAACTTTTCCCGAGCAATCTTTACCTTCTCTTGCTCTGTTCTTGCTTCCTCGGAGAATTTTTTCTGCTTCTCCTGCAAGTTGAACAAGGTTTCTTGACAAGACTTCAAAGCGGCCGTGGCCATCACGCTCCGCGCCACGTCATCTTCGATGACCATCCCCTCGCCGAATTCGTCTTGCAAGGTGGAGACCTCTTCTTGCATCGCCCCAATCTGCTTCTCGATTTCCCAGTATTTCGCGAGCCTGCTCTCATACGAGCTCTTCACAAACTCCTTCACCGTCTGTAGAGCGAGAATGTCCTTTTGATTTTTATCGATCTTTTCCAGCGCTTCCGCTTTGCTCAAACCGGATTTACGGACTTTGTGAGCAGCAGCCACTTTCTTGGCCTTCTTGTTTTGCAACTTCTTCGCGCCAGATGCCAAAATGCTCTTCAAATCCTTGATGGGAGCTTTTGGGACTTTCGGAATGTTCTGTTTTGAGACTTCGAGGACGGGCCTCTTCGGGCTATCTACGTCGTCTTCGTCCATGGCAAATGGGACTTGCTCTGGGAAAACTGAGGCGATTGTGGTGTTGGCGTTTTGTAGCTCCGTCGATATGTGGTCGTACCGTTCGGCGAGCGCTCGATAGGCTTGGTAGGATTCTCCGACAAAGTTTATGAGCTCTGGCCTTTTCTTGTAGTACATCTCTGCCCTCTTGGCGAAGGAGTCTCCATCTTCTTCGATGAGCTGAAGCACATTCTGCACTTTTTCCTCCATATCTGCCATTACACACATAGTCCGGGCATCAATTCTCAAGCACTGTGGTTACTTTAAAGTAGTCATGGATTCATACAAATTCCTGGTGGATGTGATATCGAAATTGGAACTGGGTATCGAAATTTCAGATGTCTCATTAGCTCAAATGTAATACATCATCTTGAACTGGAATCAAGAAAGCGAGGTAAATCATTTCGACCGATCACCCGACCACTAGAGGGCAGATCTCATGAGGTAATATGCCAAGGAAATCAAAGAACAAAGCTTATAAAGTAATTGATCTGGTAATCATCAGGTTGACATGATCAACATGATCAGGTATTGATACTATGCAGATGCTGCATACTTTTGGAGCCTTAACTTGCTTTATATTCACACAATGCTGTAGAAACTTATCATCAAGAGCAGACAATTATGGAAAATTCTTCATTTTTCCATACGAACCGGGCACCGAAACACAAGAACAGATGACATGTTTGACATTGCATCGCAGAACCGAATCGTTCGACCGAACAGGCGACATCCCGATCCAAATGAAACAGGACTTCGTCGTCGTCGCAACGTGTCGACGGCGACGCTCGAGGTGCCGAAACCACCCCGGGAAAAAGGAAAAGATCGCAGATCTAACCTTGAAGGTTCTGCTCCAGCCATTTGGATTGCTTTGTTCTGATGTGACTCGCCCACCACCATGAATATGCATTGCTTGCAGCTCTCTGCAACATCATCTTTTCCCTCTCCCTCACTCACTCCCTCCCCCTCTCTCTCTAGATAGGAAAAACCAAGCACAAGTCAAATGTAAACCTCAAAGGGGGTGTGAGGGAAAGAGAGAGGATTCAAAGAGGAGACAGGAGGAAGAACAACGCAGACATTGACAAGGCAACGTGCAACAAAGGAATGTGCCGAGGCACTTTCTAACAATAACATCATGGGAGGAGCGGAAACTTCGCTGCCTATCTTTGCAACCCCCCCTGCCTTTTGGTTTTTTTCCCTTTCTTTCTCTATGTTTCATTAGTAGACAAATGGCGCCGCCACGGCGCGCGTCAAGGTGTCGCCCGTCGAAAAATTGCCGCGTTATCGATCTGAACCGTTCATCACGTGGGCCTAGAAGTCATATAAGTAATTATTCGGAAAGATATTAATCTACGTGGTTTATCGATCGTACGGTAATTTCTCATCTCCTGTAAATTACATGGCGATCGAAAGATTTATGATTTTCAAAGCATGGTATTTTGAAAAGTTGAGACGTAAATCTTGTTGTTGCTTGAAATGTAATCGATTCGATCTAGCATCGAACGGATCTAATCACTCAAGCTTATGTTTTGGATAATAGCGGGATGTCCGAAACCCCTTTAAGCACCCGACTAATTATCGTTGGGTGTGGCATGACCTGGGTATTGAATTAACAAAATCAAAAAGCAAAAAAAATCAAAATGGTTGCAATGCAGAATCTTTTACATATCAGCATGAAGATAGCATATCAAGCAGAATATTCACGAGTTGATCATTTGGAGATTTTTATTGATTTGTCTTTTATTCAAGTTCATTGTAAATCAAATTGTATCTTTTATCTTTAATTTCTACCATAATTATTGGTGATGATATCTCTATGTATACTGTACAACATATCAATGCAAAGTAACGCTTCATCGACTCGGTTCTTTATTTTCTTTATGGTACGTGCCTGCTAAACATACCAAGAAATTTTTACAGACACGGATCTATGCTTTTGAAGGTGAACTTAAAAGAATGGGCGAGTGTGATAATTCAAACTTTGAGAAAATTACCCAATTAATCATAAACTTATTTTCCGGACGTCAATTAAATCATGAACTTTTCAACTTTGCCAATTTAGTCATAAATCTGTACACGATATTTCGACATAGTTCTTCCAGTTAATTTTTGCCGGAAATCATTAACGTAGTGATGATCCAATCATCGCCGGCCATCCTATGCGGCGCGCTAACGAGAATTGGTCGACCGAACTAAATTGGAATCTTGCGCGAAGATTTATAACTAAATTGACACATATGAAAAGTTTAGAATCGAAAATTGATAAATATGAAAAGTTTAGGACCGAATCGGCATCATCCGTACAATAAAATTTAAAATAAACTCATAACAATCTCTTGAGCTAGATCTAGCCACTTAGCTGTTATTAATTATTGGGTTGGACCCCATTACCAACCGGGCCTTTTGCCCTAATGGGAAATAATCATTCTCTTTTCGGCTAATGGGAAATAATGGTTAGTTATTATAACTTTTTTGGGCTGGCCCTTTTGAAAAGGCAAATACCTGTCACCGACCGAATGACTTTTTAACATGCTTTTTTTTACGTTCATGTGGCTCGGACCTCTTCTGCCTAGAAGAAGGCTAAATAGCATCCTATGACTTTGGCGCAATCATCTCGCATGGAATTGGAATAGCGGACCTTTTTTTTTTTTTTTTTTAATAGCATCCTATGACTTTGGCGCAATCATCTCGCATGGAATTGGAATAGCGGACCTTTTCATTTTTCGCGGGTGGTGGAATAGCGGACCTTTTCATTTGGCGAAAAGGTGAATAATTTAAAAAATATATATTTTTTAAAAATGATCGCTTGTATCGCTCGAAATAATCAGTTAATGCAGAATATTTTTATTATCGGCAACAGTTCATATCTACATATTATTGGTTCATTCATTTTCGAAAACAATATAGGCGATCTTTTTACGAAAAAAGTTTTCCGATGCTCCATTTGTTTCGCGAAAAGTGAGTGGTTTGGAAAACATAAGTTTAAAATGATATCATGTATCGCTTAAAACGATTAGTTAATGAAAAATATTTGTATTACAGATAGTAACGTAGACGATGAAAATATTCTTCGTTCGTTTATTTCTGTAAGCGATATAAACGATCATTTTCTGAAAAATATTTTCTAAATCACTCATTTTTCGCGAAACGAACGAAGCATAAATTATTCTTTTTTTCGCGAAACGGACGCATCCTTTAAGTACAAAACCATTTTCGCATGTTATGCCGTTTATGCCTTCTTTAGAATCAACATTACTGGGGAGAGATATGCCATATATGACTTCTGTGGAATCAACACTATTGGGGAGAGATACGCGCCTAGGATGGCGACGCATCGGTGATGTTACATGTAATTTTTGCAAGGTCGTGGTAGCCAGAAATTCGACAGTTTCGGTTAGTAACTGAAGTTTAATCGACGATGATCGATGGCCGATTAAAGCGTCGAATTTGGCTTCAAATCAAAGGTAAATGGATTCCAACATGCCTTGAAGTCTCGAGGACTTGGTAAGATTCAGACTACTGAAACAATGCGCCGACAGTAGATCGGAAGATGCACTGGATAAAGCTCTCCGGAATTTCTTGAAACCATCTTTGTAACCGGTGACGTATGTGTTGTTTGTATGTAAAAAGATGCCAAGATCAATAGAAAATCTTTACTTTTCTTGCTGAAACATTTCCAAGAGTTATGGAAACCTTAGGTTATATTTGTTTGGCCGAAAATAAATGATTTGGAAAAATTTTTCCTAAAAATGATCACTTGTATTGCTTGAAATAGTTTTAGAATCTCTTTATCGGCTTCCCACGTCGATTGGTTTGTATAACTTAAGATACTTGCCATTATTGTTTCTGACATGGGGAAATGCATCGAGACTTGATGTCCCCAGAAGCATTTCTCTAGGAGTAATTCATGCCATTCCCTAGGATGGTTTGAGATCATCTTTTTGGCATGTTCAACTTCATGATTTTGTCGGTGGTCTCAACCTTACCATTAGCTTGAGTATAATAAAGAGGGGAATCGATTATGTTCAAGCCAAATTTCTCGTGCAAGTTCTGGCATATTGATGACATTAGAGACAATGGCTTGGTCATGTACTCAGAGGGAATTAGTAATGTGTCAAGAGAAATTGGTACAAGAAGATGTGGATACACTTGATAATGGAATTCGCCGACAACCAATTAAGGATGGTCATGATAAGATTTACAAGTCTTTTTCGAATGCAATTTGAAGGCAAAGACGGAAGATTTCGCGAGACTCATGCTCGGTAAACGGGTCAATTATTCGTGTCCAAAGGAAAATCCTGAATTGGATTCCAAACTACCATGATTGTTTGATGTAACCCAAATCGATGTGCTTGATGAATTCGAGCATGTTAGATAGATCAACTATCTTTAATGATTTGGATTTTGCCCACTTTGTGAAGTAATGAGTGACTATAATAACCAATGAGCGATGCTTATCGGAAGAAGGTTCGAGTTCCCCTGTAAGGTCCTTGGCCCAGCGTCTGCATTGCCATGGTTTGACTTCCCATCATCCTTTTGCATATCGGATGCGATCTTGGAGCATCGTTGGCCAAAGCAGGCCATGCCTTTGGATGAGCGAATGCATTTTCAACCCAGCTTGGTGGGAAACCACACCAAAAACCTTCATGGACTTCAGAAATGGACGTAATTGCTTCGTCAAGATCGACACATCTGTAAAGAATCCCGTTAGTAGCTTTGCGATACGATTCTCCATCATCGAGCACATACCTGATTGCCGCAACCTTTACTTGTCTAGCAATGCCTCTCTCTATGAAGGTCGGAGAGATATTCGACGGTTTCAATCCTCCAATCGGTTTTAGAAGTTGAGATATCCACATGACTGATAGTTTTTCTGATTTCAACTTGCCCTATAACTGATTATATGGCAGGAGGAATGCTTCCTAATTCCTGAAGAAATGTGTATGAGGACTTGAACCCAGATGCCTACTGAGCCAGGTCACTGGCATTCACGTTCATACCTCTAGGTTTATGTTCTAATTCGATGTTGTCAAACCCGATCGAGCAATTCTTGAGCCATAGCTAGATATCTAGCCGACATCCCATTCAAGCATCGACTTTCTTTTAGCAAACTGTATTAGCACCTATGGAGAATCCCCAGAGATCCTCACGGATTTCACCTTGTTGAATCGTCGGTGCAATCTCCTCCGAGCCTGAAAGCATGTTTTTTTTTTTTTTTGGGTCGAAATAGAGATATCATTTCATTAAACCCGGGCCCACCTACAAGAGTAAGGGGCATCAAAACACAGGATTTCCCAAAGAGGGGAAGGGGGGTTACAAACCCAGTTTCGGGGGAGGGTCTTACACCTTGACGCCTTTACAACCCGGTCTGTTAATCTATTTGAGTCACGGGTGAATGACCAATTCTAAACTCTCAAAAAGCCAAGAGGCCAATACAATCAGTGATAATTGGCTCAACATCCCAAGGACAGAGGGAAGAATCTCTCAAATAGCTTATCAACGTTGAACAGTCAGACTCCAGCATTAGTTTTAAATGAGGCCGATCAGCAAAGTGTTTGAGGGCATAGAGACAGGCAAGGGCTTCGGTTTGAAGGGCGGAAGATGCTCGAACTGGTCGTGCAAGGCCTTCCATCGATCTTCCTTCTGAATCGCGACATACGCATGCAATTGCCCCTTCCATGGTCCCTGAGGGGTGAGATCCATCGATGTTTATCTTCAGCAAACCAGGGTCTGGTGAAAGCATGTTTGGAAGTCAATCTTTCGGCGGATTTGACGACAATCCCCATCCCAGTCCCTCGTTCACCCTACGTTCTGCTGTGCTCCAAGAATCTACTGATATAGAAGATAGCTTTCTCATGGCCTTCATCGTTGTCTGGAGCCAACAAAGCACCTATGGAGTCCACGGAAGCAGAGATGTAAAGCTTGAAAGGCGTGCTAAGATTAGGCGGCACTAGAACAGGTGGCTCTGACAAGTTTTGCCTGAGCATTTCAAAGGCCCTGATTCTGTTCATGGTTCCATTACAGATTCCTCAAAGATCTTAAGCATCAGGAGTGGGAATAGAGCCTTGGAGTTTTCCCTGCAGTTTTAGGTATAAAACCTGCGTGAGTAGTTGACTTTTCCAAGGAATTGTTGCAACTCTTTCTAATTTTGTGGTGATTTGTCATCCACTTTTGTTTTGGCTTTATTCTGATCAATCTCTACGCCGCAATGATGAATCTAGGAATAACGGTTGGTACACCTTAATGAAAAGCGCATAATTTGACACAGTTGTTCGTAACTTTAAGGGTTAATATCACAAAAAATCCAAGACTGGTACACTTGTGATAAATTTACCTCGACTTAATTTTTTGACCACCAAAAACTCAAAACTGATACACTTGTGACAAATTTACCCTCCGTTAAATTGAATTAATATCAAGAAAAATCATAAATTGGTAAATCTGTGACAAATAGAGAGGTAAAACCTCAAACTGATGTACCCGTCAACTGTCACGTGTCATCAAACTTAACAATTTGATGATAAAATTTGACAGAAATTAACGGAGGGAAAAATTATTATATGTGTACTAGTTTAGGATTTTCCGTGGTATTAATCCCTAACTTTAAAACGTTGATAAGTTTCTTATGACGTTGGCAACATACAGTGTTGTCCACTTGTAAATTTGCAGTACTTACCGTGCCTGTAAAATCTCAAAGAAGTAAGTAACTTATTAATTTATTGGCAAGTTGGCAAATTCATTATAATATTAGTAATTTACTAACCATATCTGTAAAATTTCTTGAGAAAGATAATAACTTACTGATTTTTTTTTTGGACGGTGGTAAATACATTACAATGTCGGTAATTTACTAACCATACTCATAAAATATAAAAGAAATTGATTATATTACTAATTTGTTTGGACGTTGGTAAGTTCATCAGGTACTAATTACACTCGTAACCTTGAAAAGAATTTAGTAGAGTACTATTTCATTTGGACATTGGTAAATTCATTCCAGTGCTAGTAGTTTACGAATCGTAGTTATAAATTTTTCAAAAAAAAAGCCGGTATTATTTACTGTTTTATTTGGGTGTTGATAAACTCAATAAATTGTCGGTAATTTACTAATCCTACTTGTAAAAAATAAAAGAAGCGAGAACTATTTGAATAATGGAAAACCGATTCCAATGATTAATTAACCAACCATACTCGCAATATTTTAAAGAAGTTAGCAGCTCACTGATTAATCTTGACGTCGGCAATTAACTTGCTGACAAGCGATTCGGCGACAAGCAAGTCGCTACAAATATTTCTTTTTCGTCGACGATCTTTGATAAATTACTAATAACTTTGTAAATCTACTGGCAAGAAAAAATTCGCATTTTTAATTTATTCTTTTTTCCCTAGGGGGGGCCTTAGAAATGTGCAAATTTTGAAAGAGGGTTTTTTTTTTTTTTGCACAATTTTCATTAATAAGAAAGTTATAATAGTAAATCGTTCGAAGGTGTAGTAGGAGCATGGAGAACTCAGGATTCGATCGGTAACGGCTAGTGGTAATTATGAGTCGAATCCAAGGGTTAAGAAAAGTGGATCGCATAACTAACGCCGTCAAGAGGACTCAACCAGATCGCAAACGGTCCCGTTCATTTTTTAAATCCTCCATGCCCACCCTCCCCTCTCCAACGGCTCTTTTTCGAAACCCCTCTCTCTTTTCCTCTCCCTCTTCCTTCCTCTGTGTTTCTTGGCGAGAAGCAAGGAACTTCACGCTCGGATCGAATCGAAGCCTGCGATAATCGGGTATGTTTTGCTGTTCGTTATCGATCGATGGGGATTTGGAGGCGTCGATTTTCATTTTTGGGTGTTCTTGTCCGAGGAAATGTGCGTTGTTTCGCTTCGATTTCGGGGGACTTTCGCCGGAAATCGTTGTTTTAGTCGGTCGACGTGGAAACGGCCGGCTTGGATTTGAATGTCTTTCTTTTGCTGTGATTCTTTGGCTCTTTGACTGTTGGTTCTGGTCGGGATTTGTTTCGTTGCGAAGGAGGAGTGTGTTCTGGTAGGATGTTCATCTGTCTGGACGACGAGGGACGGTCCGTGGGATTTTTGTTCGATGCAGATGCTGAAGCTTATTACAGTTCGAAGCCGTTCTTCGCCTACATATTCTCTGCCGGTGAAATGAATGAAAAGATGGTCGCCTCGTTAGTGTTTTTTTGTCGATTTGTCCTGTTCTTTTCGCTAATTCTTACTTGGGTAATCCAAACGAATGGCTGTCTTGAATTCTGCTCCTTGTTGTTTATATTTGTCTGTGCAGTTTTGCTGTCCGTTATAGTAGTTTCTCAAGTTAGGCTAGTTGATTGGTGTTTGAAAGCCGAAATCTCTTCTTGGACATACGGGATTGGCTCTTGCTAGAACACCATGTCAGGAATTTAAGGGGAGAGACTGGTTTTTTTTTTTTTCCACTCTAAGATCACCGTGAAAAGGGTTATGTTTCTTGCGGTTCGGAAGACACTCTGAAAGGTCAGTTAGGGCTTGTTGAGAGGGATGATCTTGAACGCTTTCTCGGAGTTCTTTCTGGGAATGATCTGTTTTTTTTTTTTGTATGATGAATTCTTGCAATTGCTATGATCTATTTTTATTGGTGTGTACTGTGAATATAGCATAGCCTAGAGAATTTCAGTAGTATGCTCCATTTTCTTACTGTCTTGCCTATTGTCCGAATCAGGTTTTGGTGTAGTCTTGGTAGGAAAATATGGACAAAATCTGCGAGGAACTAGATGAAGCCAAACTGGAGATTGAGAGGCTCAAGGCAGACTACCTGAATAAAGCTGCACAGTATGATAGCTTAAGGAAAGGGTACAATGAGCAATCAAATAGGCTTCAGGAAGCGAGAGCGAAAATCGAGAACCAGTCGGAAGAACTCACTGGGAAGACGCAGGAAATTTCGGAATTGAAGCGTTTGTGTGAAGATCTTAAATGCAGCTTAAGCGAAAAGGAATCAACTGTTAAATGTCTTAGTGCTGCCAATGACACTCTCAGATCTGATTGTAAAGAGAAGTCACAAAAGTGGGAAGAGGAGAACAGGCGTTTGCTATTGGCTGTAGAAGAAGCGAATGATAGATGTGCCAGTCAAGAGGAGAAGCTGCGAGGGTTTGAAGAACAGATTAAAGGCTTGAAAAGGCTTTTGGATTCCTCACAAAAGAAATGTTCTGAAGCAGAGGAAAAGGCCAAGGCTCCTATAAAACTGAGAGAAAGAGATGATGTAATCGACAGTTTAGAGCAGGAAGTCAGGAAAGTCGAAGATCAGCATAAATGGAAGAAAGAGCAGTTCAAGCATTTGGAAGAGGCGCACAACAAGCTCCGGGAACAGTACAAGACAAGCAAGAAAGAATGGGAGCTGGAGAGATCTTCATTTCTTGATGAGATCTCTTTGCTACAGATGAAGTTGGATTCTCAAACTAGAATGTCCCAGGATCTTGGGAACAGGTTGCAGATGTGTAACCAAGCACTCGCCCATGAAGAAAGCAGAAGAAAGACTTTGGAGTTTCAGGTCTCCAACTTTAAAACGCGCTTTGAGAATGTCTTTGGCGAATGTGAGGAAGCAAAGTCGCAGCTGGATCGCTTGATGTCCCAGAGGGATGAAGAGGTGGCAAATTTGAGGCATTTACTGGGGAGCAACGAGACAATTTGCAAGGAGATGAAATATCAGGCAAGGAAACTGCAGCAAGAAAATGAAGAACTAATAGGAGACATCAAACAACTCCAAGAAGAGAAGATATACAATGCAGGAAACTCTCCATCTTTGGCTAAGCTGCGAAATAGGCTAAAAAGCGTCGAGCGGATGCACGAAGACTGTGCTGCAAATCTTAAAGCAAAAGAGGCTGAGTGGAGTCGAGAGCTGGAGAAATTGACATCTGAACTGGAGGATTGCAGGTCTGAGTTGTTGAGTAAGGAAGCAGCGCTCAAAGATGTCACGAAGGAACTAGAAGGTTGTCATGCCTCCCTGATGCAGTTGATGTTGATGAACGAGGAGATTTCCGTGACGCTATTGGTGATGAAATCAGGAATATCTGAGTATCAGTTAAAGCTTGCTAATAATGCTTCTGATATCGACATGCATAACAAGATCAGAGAAGATAATGCTTCTCTTCTGATAAAGCAGCTCGAGATGAAGAATGAAGCCTTGGCCAAGGCTCATGGGGAGATCATCAGCGAACATCAGAAGGTGCAGATTGAGCTGGCAAGTTATAAGGAAATGCTTGAAGAATCGTCAAGATGCCAATTTTTCTTGAAGGAGCAAGCTTTACGAATGGAAGTCGATTCCAATGTGAAGATCAAAGAAGTTTGTGATGCCCTAGATAGAACCAGTTCCGAGCTGACTGAGAAAATTGGCGAAGCGAATGAAATGGAATTTGAATTGCAGATATGGAAATCAGTTGCTGATCGTTTGAAATTTGAAATTGATGAAAACCATGAAACACGTAAACAATTGGAAGCCTCACTTCTTGCACAATCCGAGTTCGAGAATGCGATGAAGAGGGAGAAAGATGAACTTGCCCACCTGTTGGAAGATAGAGACAGAAGTATCGACTGTCTCCAGAAGAAGATTTTGCTTCTGGATCAAGAAATCAAAATGAGAGAATTAGAAGTTGCTAATTCTACAAAGATGGAGTCACTAATGGCCCTCGAATCAGAGAGGAATAGTTTCTTCCAAATGATCCGAGAGAAGGATGAGATCTTCAAGGAACTCCATGAGGAGATTAGTCAGCTGGAGCAGGAATCACTTAGAAGAGAATTCGAAGGTGTTCTTTTCGCCCAATTAGGAGCAGAGAGGGCATTTGAGAATGAGAAACGCAAACTTGTCCATCTGATGGAAGAGAAGGACCAGAGAATAAGGGACTTAATGCACTCCATGAAATCCCTGGAAGACAAGTTCAGCAGCTCGATGGTGTCCATCTCCTCACAGCTAGCTGAAAAGGAGGCAGCAATTGATTCATTTTGCGAAGCCTGGGAGAAGATAACAGCAGCAGAAATTGTGGCCGAGATAGAAGTCGAAGAGAAGAGAATGATGATTACGGAACTGGAGAATGAGTTGACTAATCTGCAAAAGAAGCTGGAGCTTCAGGAAAAATCCCTGTCGTGTTCAGAGCATAGAGCATTGGACATTGAAGCTGCACTGGAGGCAAAAGAATCAGAGATGAAAAACTTGGCTTGGGAGATGGATGTGAGGCTCACCAGCTCAGATGCATTGGTTAATGAGCTGAAGAGCGAAAACGGTGACTTGCTTAAATACATCCGAGCATTAGTATCGGAAAAGGAAGATTTGTTGGGACTTATTAGGGAGATGGAAGAAAGGATCAGCAAGTCCTCTAGTGAAGACAACCAACTGATGCAGGTCCTAGATACGATATTACAGTCTTTTGATTGTGATGGCTCGAGTATGGATTCCGAACAGGACAACCAAAATGTTGACCCTGTTAAAGAGGATTTGAAGTCTGATAAATCTCCTTTTGTGAAGACATACGCAGCCGTTTTGAATGGAAGATCTCCTTTCAGAGAGCTTAACAGTTAGCTCCACCGCAAGATTGTCAATGCCAGGTTTTGGTTTTCGGCGAGGAACCTGTTTGTGCCACTGACTTCTGAATATATGATTGCTGACATTTTGTTTGCTATCGAAAGAACCCATGTATGACTTGTGATGCCAAATTGTTATCACGCAATTTGTACTGTAAATCTACCCTGATTCTGTAGTCACTAATTTGTTGGATTGTCACTTTTTTCAAGGCATTCATCTAGACAGCTCCAAGCTGCAGATCAGAAAATAGTTCAGTACTTCATCTTCAATTTCTCTCGAGACATATTACGTGAAAAAATACATGTTACGTATAGTAGATATATGTTAGATGCATATTTCCGTAAACTATGTACAAAAAGACGCCAGTTGCATACACATGCAATGGTACGCATAAGGAAATACACCTGCGACAAAAAAACATGCCTCGATGTTCAGGTTCTTTTGCAGAAAGAATCCGTTCTCTTCACTGTGAAGTTTGGACAGTCTCTACAAGATGATAAGAGCATCAATGGTCAGAAGCTCGTAATCTATCCTGCTAACTGATACCATTGACAGAGTTATAGAAAGTCTGAGATTATATCTTAGAGAACTTTCAAGGCACAGCACTCTGGAAGTCCATGTGAGATTTCTTACACTAACATTGTCAATGTAGTTTACTCAAAAGGATCGTCGACTTGTCAGTGGATCTTATATGGACAAAATAGGTAATGTTCTGGTATGTCTGATAGAAGTACTGCAGAAATTATATCTGCAGATCCCATGTTATTCATACCAAATCGTTAATGAGAAAGAAAACACTGAAGTACCACTGGGCAACAATTGACAGAGATGGGTATGCAGATGAAAAGTGGAGGGATGAGTTTGAGAGAGATTAGTGAACTTGGAGGCAGGTAGGTTCAGTTCAGCATCTTGATCTAATTTGGGTATTTCAGGATCAATTCATGGAGGAATTTAGCTGGGTGGATTTGGGACATGAAAGGTGTCTGATTCACATGTATCACTTGTTTAGCACACTTGACTGTTCTGAGGAGATACTGCCCATTGTTAAGGTTAAACAGAAATGCATAGTTGTTTTTTTCTTGGTTTATAATATGAGAAAGCATACCTTATGCAGAGTAAATCCCGGGTCATATAGCGCCTACTAATCTCATGAACTAAGTAAGAGGCGAGATAAAGCCCCGGTGAATGGCTCAAACTTTCGCGCTCCTAATCACACACATCCTTGTCCTTCCCCACGGTAACTCAATGAGCTCAATTACGTCTCGAACCCGGCTCAAGCCCAAGTCAGGATCTTTGAGTAGGAGTCCCGAACCGGACTCAAATTAGTAGCGTATAGGATTGGGATCTGGCTGATATAAGTCCAATCATAATTTTTCTATCTTAACCTATTTTTTTCAAACAAAGTATCACCACATGTCACAAATCCTTCAAATATGAAAATACACCTCTTCTGATAACTTATGTTTACTCTATAGTTGGTATTAATCACACAAAATTTTGATCCCGAATTCAAATTTTGTCAAGTTCCATATTTGCCGCATTATATATATTCACACTTTAATCGTAAGAAAATCCAACGAAGTAAAATATTAGAATGTTCAAGTATTAAATCTCGACTTCATTCACATCCAACGGGGTTTTTTAACTCGTAAGATGTCCAATTGTCAACTTTCAACACATCTAGTAACACGAATCTACCCCGAAAGTCGAGATCCGGCTGCAACATTTGTAGGGATCCGAGAACCCGGATCAACAAAAGGCAGGACACGTGGCGTGAAACCCGGCAAGGAGAAGCGGGGCCCAATCGAATAACCGCTACACAATTTCCCTCATTTTTCATTTTCGAAAAATAAAAAAAATAAAAGAACCCAAAAAAAAAACAGAAGAAGAAAGAAAAAAAAACGATACAATATTTGACAGTTGGACATCTCCGTCCCCGCCCGCACCCGTCTCTCTCTCTCTCTCTCTCTGAGCTCCGCTCACGGAGCTCGCAGAGATCGCCGCCGGAGCTTCCCGCCGGAACCCTCCGAATACGCCGCTCGTTCTCCGCCATCGCCGGCTCTTCGTTCCGGTAATCGACTCGCCTTTGCTTGCTTTGCGCAGAATCATCTGTCGTCATCATCCGATCGTTCCCCCCCCCCCTTCCGCGTGATCGTGACACTTCGAGTTTCTTGCTTCGTGCTTGGTTGGCGGATTCGGTTTCGCGATCGATTTTCCTTGTTTATGCGACGAGAGTCATCGATTCCTTACCAACGCTTGATGCTGACCGGGTCTAGTTTCGAATCGAGCTTCGGCTTCGATACGTGGAATGAATCTGTTGTCCCTTTGTATTTCGTCGTCCTTGTCGAGAATATCAGGTTGTGAGTTCTGTTTGTTGATGGCTGAGGTTGACTAAGGCCGAAGGGTTGATTCTGTGCAATATGCTTGTTTTTTGTGGGGGTTCGTTAACCTTTCCTTTCGTTTTCCAGAACGTTTCGGTGCCTGAACATTTCTTTATCGGTTGTTTGCAGTTTATGATGTTCTGTTGGTAGCTCTGGCCATCGGTTGACACTGCGACTGAAAATGTCTCTTGCTGGCTCCATGTACTTGTCCCATAATTTGGGACTTCCCAAGGATAGGGGCCGCAATTACTTGTTGAAGGTACATGACCTGTAATTCAGAACTCGTGTTTGTGTTTCTGCGGTGGGTTGTTCTGATAATCTTCAATTATCTCTTTGTTTCCCCATTCCAGAGCTTAGGCGGAAGAGGCAACTTGTGCGTAGGGAGTCTCTCTTTGTCATCACGTTCTTCGGTAAGTGACTTTGGATTTTAATGGAAAAGTGCATTTTCTTAGTTCTGTGGCAGTGGTACAGAAATTTTGCTGGATAATATGAGTGATTGCATGTATGATGCCTGCCCATACATGTGTTTTAAATGAAATTCAGTAGTATGCCTGATAGAGGACGTGAACCTCCATGTGAAACTATTGTAGTTAGGGGCTGAAATGGGTTGCACAAGGCTATCATTACATGAATTCACATTTCTTTTAACCAACTTTTTATTAAGAATAAGCTTGGAGAAAAAATCAAAAAGAGAGATTAGAACGTATGATAAAAGAACTTGAAGGGGTGACCACAACTTGATGGAAGGAGCTCAACAATATGCGCGTACTGTAAACATGGCTCAGCTAAATTTTTCCATGCTATTACATTTTAATTCTATGTTATTTTGTTTCCTACATTTTTCATTCTTGAAAGCAGTTGCACTGATAATGCATAATAATTGTTGACAAGACACAGCAGTGTTTTAACCTGTAGCATTTTGCAGCTCTCTACATCCTGGAAACATGAAATGACAGAGAATAGTCAATTCCGTTATTTCCTTTTGCTTCTTGTACCTCTTTTCATCTCGTTACTACTCTGCTTTATGATGAGAACTACTTTTTTTTATTAGTACCATGAGGGTTATTTATTTTTTTTTTTTATGGTCGAACAATGAGGGCTACTTAGTATGCGAACTATCATACTGAAATGCCATAAAGCTTCCTCTAATCTTTAAACGAGGAACTTGAATCATATCTTCTGTCTTCTAAATTGGGTATCGTACAGCTAGTTGGTTCTTATTTTAGCAAGGGGTGATCTTTGCTTTCTCAGGGTAGATATTTTCTGATAGCTATTGTTAGAAGAGCTTCAATTGAGGACTTTTGAGTCTTACCACTTAACCATTTTGCAGCAGAATTTTATTTCTTGTCATTCGTAGAGCTATATGAGCTGTTCTCGTGTTGAGAATCTAAGTTGAATTACTGCTGATTTGAATTCACGTTTAATTTTCTTTAAATGGCATGACTGGCAGGAATTTTGGAGTACGGCTCAATCTCGAAGTTTATATGCTCCGGTATATACTGTACAAAATACATACAGTGTTTTTAAATGCTATTCTTTTTTAGGTCCAAGGAATTTGCATGAAAATTCACTAGTGAAGACTGCAGCCGCCGCAATGTCCAGGTAATCTCACTTGATGTATATGAACTTGTCATCCATGTTCCTGATGGTCTATTCTTCTACCCCCCAACCACACACACACACATACACACCTTTCTTTTACAAGTGATGTTTATGTTAAGTTGTGTCACAATGTAGTCTTTTTAATTTGATACTCTTTTGTATTCCCTATTGTTTCCCTTGTAATATAACGGCCATTGTACTTAACGAAGTTCTTCCTGAACGCATAACCTGTTGCATCACCAGAATGAGAGGTTTATAGCACTTTGCCCATGGTTAAACGACAAGTCTTAATCAAGTTCCTGGCACCCAACTGCTCCTTGGTATTTTAGCAGAACTGTTTACTCAGCTGTATAACTGAGTCTCTTCATGCCCTGCTTAGCCATCAAACTTATTTTGGTTTCATGTTAACAGAGGAAATGGCATAATCTCTAAGGCATAACTCCATTTGAATCTTGAAAGCATTAGTATGATATTCAATGGTATGAAGGATTAAAATCAATTGCTTCTACTTTTGACAACTAATGCCATGTCAGCCAACATGTTACAACCATATTCCAGATTCCCAAAGGGTTTTTGGTACTGCCTCAAGTGTACTTCGAGTTTGGTGTGAAAAATAGTTTAAACTGTTGAGAACCAAACTGAACCGAACCATTATTATGTTTTGGTTCAGTTCAACAGGACTTTTTTTTTTCTTTTGAAAGAATGGTTCACAAACCACCATACCATTTTTCGCAGTTCAGTTTTGGGTCTACTTTTTGGGACCAAACCAAACCTTATTACCTATCAAAATATTTATAAAGTGGGCTATCGTTTATGATATCAAGTAGCTTATGTTTTCACTTTCTGTGTCTGTGATTCGTGATGAGTGTAATGTTTGGTTTCTTCATGAAATTATTTATTTTTTGAAACTATTTTAGTGAATTTAAGATCATGAATTGAGAAAGACAGAAGACAAAAAATTAATTTGGGTCCAAACGATCGCTAGGTTTGGTCTAGTTTCGTTTTTTCTTCAAACCATATATACGCGGTTTGGTTTGGTCTGGCATCAAGACTGAACCAAACTGCTCCATGCTCACCTCTGTTTCCCCTGATCTTTCAATATGTTAATGCATCACACATGACCGTCCAGTACTTGGGTTGAGACTATGTGCTTCTGAATATTGGCATGGTTTCTCTATCTATCGAATTTATCTTCCAGTGCAGTCTTCTCAATGGAGTTAATCCTTCCACTGGTGCTTTTAAAATCAGATTGTACTTACCGGTTCAACTTATTGACTGAGAGCGGTTCACGGTCCAGTCCATTTCGATGCTTGTGACCGTTTGATATCCAAAACTGGATTGGAAACGGCATTGATCTGGTTCATCCAGAGCGCTTGAACTGGCAATGACCTAGGTTTTGAACCATGGGCTTGTCTTTCCTTGGAATAACCCCTCACATGCCTTTGTCTTTTATCCAATTTTTACCTTGTATCTAATTGTGCCAACAATTATATCGATACTCATATGCAAATGCCAAAATAATAAATCATAGCAGAAGACTCTGCTGAGGTTTTGAACTGGGAAAGTGTAAGCCGCAACAATGGGCTCTCTGTGTTTGTAAGCATCAAGCCAACATAAAGTTAATGTCTATACTAATAAAATGGAAAAAAAAAAAAAGCATTCAACCAGTTGAACCACAACAAGTCAGTTGGCTGGGTCTCTTACCAATCCAATTTTATAAAAAAATCCCTTCAACTTGAGAAGCTTGAATGGTTGCTGTTGAGAATGAAGTTTATTAGGCTATAGCATCTTTCTATTGCAAGATCTTTATATGGATCTCTGGTACTAGCATTCGAAAAGTATTTTTACATCTTCTGAGAATTCGAAATTGTGTCAATGTCACATTTCATTATGTTTTTATCTTATTTATTCTAACTTTTTATAGGTTTTTCTTTAGCCTTTTATCTTCCATAGTGTGCCATATTGTTGTTCTTAGAAATTTGCTTCTTCCTTTCTTTCAACTTTGTCCTTTCAAAGGAGAAATAAGCTGCTCTTAACTTTGTTTGATAGATGTTTGTTGCAGGCCGTTCAGTGTGTTACAAAGTAGTCCTATTACACTGAAGTTGGTTGCCGCTATCAGCATTGTTGTCTTTGCTTTTTGGGGGCTTGGTCCGCTTATGCGCCAGAGCAGACGATTACTACTTCATGTACTTTCGACTGTAACTATTGTCATAACGTCTTCTTACTTTCAACTTGACTCTTGCACATCTAATATCTGAACTTCTTTTCTTGACCTCAGAAGAATGACAATAATTGGAAAAAGAGCAACACATACTATGTGACAACTTCCTATTTTCAACCTTTGCTACTTTGGATGGGTGCAACAATTCTCTGCAGGTAACCATAATGAAATGTTTTAATCCAAGTGGAGAGAGGCATTTTCTTTGCATGGGTTATTATTCATTCATCTGTAATCATACTGATAATGACTATGTTTCAGAGCATTGGATCCAGTTGTTTTACCAACAGAAGCAACCCAAGTCGTTAAGCAACGGCTTCTGAGCTTTGTGAGGTCATTGTCAACAGTGTTAGCTCTAGCCTATTGTTTGTCAAGGTGGATCTTTTTCACATCCTCATTTATCTACTCAAGAGTCGGTTGAAATTTGGTTATCAAATTTGAACAGACTCAAGAAACTGCTTGCTTGAATCTTTTTTCTTTCATGTTGATGAGAAATCCCACCAATTACATCAATACCATATGAACAATCTCATTGTTGTTCTGCCTTCTTCAAAGCTTAGTTGATTGTACCAAATGCTTGCCATTGGTGGTGTGTGTGATCTTGGCCATTCATGGCATTAATTCTTTGTAGGTTCAAGTCCCTCTAGATTTTCCCCTAATGACTAATCTAGCGATGAACTTGGTGTTGCAGCGTGATTCAACAGACACAGAAGTTTCTCATGGATAAAAACGATCCTAGTGATGCAAGAAATGTATGTATATATTTTTGTGATGCTCTGCTAAATTAATTAACATCTGTATAACCCAATGTGAGCTTGCTGTATATGCCAACCCTGTTGGATTGTCTTCACTGTATCTTATTAATATTGTAGCTGACATGTCATATTCTTTTTATTGCAGTCTTAATATATGTCAAGGAGTTTCAGTTTGTAATTCTCTTTCCTCAACATCTTTTATGTATCTCTAGATACACTACCTGATTAGGTTCAGTAGTAGACTGGCAACAATAAATATTCCAATTCATCAAAGTTGCAAACCCACTTGCATTTTCTTCTGATCCCCTCTCTTGTGAGTGGAACGAGAAGATAAAACAATTCTTAGTAAGAACATTCATACTAAATTTATTTGCTTCAAAGAAAGCAATTATAGATAAAAGAGAAGATACTCTCAAGTTTTTAGCGTGTCAACTTTAAAAACTATTACTGATCTACTTGATGGCTTTGGCTGAGATTGTTAGGTTCGAACGGTGATATTTGATTTGTAATCTAATTTAAACAGCTCATATCCAAGACACTTGTTTGAGCCAAAATCTTGAGATGCATTGATTAGCAAAATGATGAGGACTCTAGTTTTAGTAAGCCATGCCAGGGGTTGACCCTATAACATGATAGGGTGGAATTTCCAGTAGTCACTAGTTTGTTTTGGCATCAGTTAATAGCTAAACAATATATACCTAGAATTGTCTCCTCATCTCTGTCCAATGTACTACTTGTGAGTATTGGATTTTTTGAAGCATGAATGTTGAAAGCATTAAACTAGGAGCTTGGAGAAAGGTGGCTAGAATGTATTGTATCAGTTCAAGAGGAATGAGAGCTGTCCATCTCTGACTTTAGTTTTTCTCTCTTTTGCTCAAAAAATTCCAAGAAACATGTTGGAATTACCATCCGCAACATTCATACTAGTGTTTTCTTTTCCCTTTGAATAGATGGGTTTTCAATTTGCGGGGAGAGCGGTATATACCGCAGTATGGGTTGCAGCTGTTTCATTGTTCATGGAGCTGCTAGGGTTCTCTACCCAAAAATGGCTTACTGCTGGAGGTCTTGGGACAGTATTACTGACTCTTGCAGGACGTGAGGCACGTGCCTACTTATTTAACATCCTCGAATGTCTTTTGTCCCCGTGTATCGAGAAACAGCAGTAACTCCGGTTTGTTTTTGTCAGATATTCACAAACTTCCTCTCTAGTGCAATGATTCATGCAACTCGTCCTTTCGTTGTGAATGAGTGGATTCAGACAAGGATAGAAGGCTATGACGTTTCTGGTACTGTTGAGGTCTGTCTCTACGATGAATTATTGTAGAGGTAGATTATAAAAAAAGCATATTAATATATTATTATAGAAGTGGAATTGACCTTATGAAGATTTCTCACCAAAACTACATTAATAAATTAATTCAAATAGACATCTAGCGAAAAGAATGAGCACATACTTTTTTATGCTTCTCTCTGGACAGCATGTGGGATGGTGGTCTCCAACAATCGTGAGAGGTGAAGATCGTGAAGCAGTTCATATTCCAAATCACAAGTTCACCGTGAATGTTGTTAGGAATCTGAGCCAAAAAACTCATTGGCGGATTAAAACTCATCTAGCAATCAGTCACTTGGATGTCAGCAAAATCCACGTGAGTTCTTCCCTAAATAGCAGTTGACTTCTCTGTAGCCACCAGATTGCAGAAGTAATATGCTTTCCTTACCAACTTAAGGTTCTTCTGTTTGCAGAATATTGTTGCTGACATGCGCAAAGTGTTGGCAAAAAATCCTCAAGTTGAGCAGCAGAGGTTGCATCGAAGAGTATTCTTGGACAATATTAATCCAGAAAATCAGGCTCTTTTGGTACGTGATGTGTCTTTACCTCCAAGACTAATTGCTCCATGTTGATAATGACTCCCGTAATATTTTCTCTGATAAATTTATAGTGATCCCAACCAGCGAATTCTAGTAGAGCTGCGACTATTAGCCCAAACTTGTAATTGATGGTTTGCTTTAATAGGTTAATTAGATTTAATCTGATTACTGAGAATCTGCGATCAATCCGAAGAACTTAACTATAATGCTTCCATAATCTTCAATGCCTAAGTGCAGTGTGAACTGTGAAGTTGCATTTTCTAATTCTTGTAGTCTGATCTGATACTCTTATTTAAAGTACAAAACAATGATAAGAGTTCTTTACCTGCCTTTTGAGAGAGAATGCATTGCCAAACATTACTGTATAAGTAAAGCTTTGTCTTATTCTAGTGGAATTCATTTTACAGATCTTAGTATCCTGCTTTGTGAAGACATCGCATTATGAAGAGTACCTCTGTGTCAAGGTGAGATGAACTCTCTCTGTATGTAACATTTCATTAAAGCTTAACTTTGTCTATGAGCTGGAGGGGAAACAGAAACAGCTGAATATGATGTCAGCTCTGGCCATTACAAGGCAAAAACTATTAGCTTGACGATTTCCATTCACCAGGTACCTGTGTGAAGAAAACCATAATGAACCTACTGTTTGTGTGCGAGTACGATTGGAATATGTTGTCAGCTCTGGCCATTACTTGGCTTGTTGCATTTCTGAATAGAATAAATATTACAGGCTCAGCGAGATCAAGAGATGGGAGAAAATGACATGAGTAGCATCTTTTACAATTCTGTGACTCCGTCATAAGCATTAGAGAAAATTTTGTAAAAATGGTTGGATCCTCAATACTTCATAAACAAGTTTGAAAAGTCATTTGCTGGCTGTTTTTGATGCTTGCTCTTACTTTGTGTGTGTGCGAGTACAATTGGAATTGTAGGTGTTGTTCGATAAAGTTGAAGATATTCCAAAACTATCAAGGGTGAATGACTGAAAGTTGTTGAGTGTTGGATAAATTAAAACAAGAACGTTGCAATTTTCACTGTTATTTCATCGTTGGAGATAACAATAAGACATGCTTACTAGCTGTCTTTTGTTAATTCATCGTGGACCAGAAATGCTACTGTGAATGTAGTAAGTCAACTTATGAAATCTGTCGTGACATGCAGTATCTGTCAAAGGTTGGAGAGCTTGTCCAAAATGAAATAAACCCTATATGGATAACATAGCGGGTCTTGAAAAACAAAAGCAGGCATGTAATTGTAGTTCTTGAGAATAATTATGTATTTGCATTTCGTTTTTATGAAGTGATTTGTCAATAAATAATTGCAAATAAGAACACTCAATTTGCGATGAGCATCATTTTAATGGGGTCTAGATTGCATGTTAAACATCTCATAAGCATTGTCTCGTAAGTAGAATTGCTTTTGTTTGACAGGATCTATCCATATCATCTGAATGCATTTTAGAAGTATCATGCTCTTTGCACTCGGTGCTATTCGACTTATTTGCATATGCATCTTTAATGGAGCTCGACAGTAAATGTTGTTGAAATACTAATGCAAATACTTGGATGATCTATGTTTAACAGGAAGCTATATTGTTAGATCTCCTTAGAGTAATAAGCCATCACAGGGCCCGACTTGCCACACCAATTCGCACAATGCAGAGAATATATGGTGACAACGATCTGGAAAATGTACCATTCAATGCAGGCTTCCCTCAAGGTGGAGTGGTATCTAACCGTCCCTTCTTGTTGATTGAACCCCCATATAAGATCAATGGAGAGGATAAAACAAAGACCCGTGCCACTCGAACACCTACTGGGGAGCAAGGTGGTAAGAAATCCACTCAGTCAACACCTGACACCACTGCAGATTCTAAGGCTGGAAACACACACCCATCTGACTCAAAAGTCAAAGAAATGCCAATTGCCGACCTTAAATATGATACCAAGAACAAATCTGGGGGAAACATAGAGTCCAAAGAGAATAAGAAGAACAAAAGCACACCTGTTTCTGATGAAAAAATGGGGGAGAACATGAAGAGTAAGCCAGTGTCAAAGCCCGCCTCAAGGTTGAACGTTCAGGTTGCCACTCCTAGTGTTGAAGTCAAACAGATGGACTCGATTCCTAATAAACTCACTGAAGAAGTTTGCAACGGCGAGCAATCTAATCTAGTTCATCCTGAGAAAAGCTTACAAAAGAGTGAGGCCATGTCTTCTTCTGTTCCCTCTTTAGGAGCTGACACTGATAAAGAAGCTGGGACAAGTTCTCCATCGAACCATGAAAACAAGAAGATGGTCTCACATCCACCTGTATCGAGGCCTGCTTTGGAAGATAATATAGTACTCGGTGTTGCATTAGAAGGGGGAAAGAGAACGCTCCCTATTGAGGAAGAGGTGATTCCTCCCAATAATGCAGGTTTAATAGATTTAAATGCCGAGAAGAACAAAGATGGTTCGGTTCCGGCATCTCCCAGTAAAAGTTCCACCCATCAGAAGCACCAGTTAGATTGAATTGTAGATGATAGTTGCTTTGGTTCGCCGCTGACTGTTGCCAACAAGCTAATACCATGGTAATTCTTTTGTCCTCTTGACTCTCTTGCTTCATACAACAATAAGAACATATTCTTACACTAACATAGTAATGAATGATCACTAGAGACCATAACATGTTTGATCGTGTACAGAAACTCGCCTTTTTTCCCCGACTTCTCTTTTTACAGATTCCATGCATTACTTTGTGATGCATGTTGTTTCTTTAGCTGATTTCCTACCTTGTTATGGTAGGGTCGAATGCTGCTGCTGTGGATTAGTCACTGAATCTCTATTGTATGAGAGAAGGCCCCTAATGAAAAGCTGTCACCGCTGAAGTTCTGAAGTGAAAATTGAACTAGTTGCCTAAATACATCAGTTTTCTACTCTCTGTTTGAGTTTTTGCAAATGTCACAGAGCTGCCGTCTTTTCTTGGTATGAAGAAATAGAACAGGTAGTAGAGGGAAAAAATTGAGATACATAATTGAGTCAAACGTATCTTAGGCCATAACTTGTCAATTGATATGAAAGAAGAAGATACTACACAGGGAAATCAACTCCCAAACATTTCAAGTAATCTTGCACCTTTTGAAATTCATGCGATCAAGTCCTAATTTCCGAGTCAGTGAATGTCCAAGCATCCAAATTTTCGACCGATCGAGTGGACTTGTATCGCCAGTCAAGCATTTTTTTTTTTTGGGAAGCACAATCAACATGTGAATCTTATTGATCATGTATAACTTGATCGGTGATGCTTGAAGATTTTTGCCTCGAACGTCGTCATTGACATTGTAGAGAATTAGTGATTAAATTCAATGTTAATCGCCAAGGCTTGACTCCAAAATTAAACTTTGTATACAGTATGTTTCAAGATTTGCATTCTTCACTGCATTTTCTGCAGTTAAAAAGGTCGGATTTGGGCTAGCCCTTCTCTTATTGGGCCTTAAATGCTTAGGTCTAGTCAACTCTATTAGAGAAAATATCAAGTATCCTCTTCTTCTTCGTTTCTTTTTTATATTTTTCGCATCTTCGCCGCTTTGAATCATGTACTTTTAGAAATACATCTTTGCATTGTGGGCAACCTTAGATCGATATCGTCCCCGTTCATGACAAGGGACGCTATCTCGATATGAGGTCGCGGCCACCATGGCACGAGCTCGACCGAGTCTGGTTGATAGAAAAATAGGGGGGCTCGTATCGTAGCTAGCACAAAAGGGTGGAGGGTAGTGGCGTTGACGTCGACGGAAAACCAGGTGAAATCAAACGCAGCGGCAGGAGGCATCGGTGGCGGCAGGTGACCTTAGTGTTCTTTGGGTTTGGGTTGGTTTAGGTGTTTTGGGTGGGGTTTAAAATTAAGAAAATGGATGGGGATCATTTTTTGAACAGTTCCTACCATCAAAATTCTTAATTTGGTAAACTAAACCATATTTATCCAAATTAATTTTTGGATCGCAAAAAATCTTGAACCGGTACATTCGTAGCACATTTATCTTAAATTACCTCAAACGAGTACACCTGTGTCATATTTATCCTAAATTGATACACCTGTATCAATTTCGCCCCAAGTTTTTGGTAGATTTGTCATGTTGTATTACTTTAGGATTTTTATTTTTAGAGTAAATGTGGCCGGGTGTACCAATTTGAAATTTTTTGTGGGGGGAAATTCTAAATAAGGGCATGAAGTGCCCTTATTTTCTAAAATAAGGGCTTGAAGTTGAACTTGTTTCAAATAAGGGTCTGAAGTGACTTGCTATATCAGTATCAAATAAGGCCCTGACCTATCCGACCGAAGGGCATTTTCGTCCTTTATATATTTTTTCTTTTTTTCTTTCTTTTTTCTATTTTTTTTTTGGCCCCTTCCCTTCGCTGGACTCAGGCGAGGGCGCCGTTGCCTGGGCTAAGCGGGCAAGGGCGGCCCTCCCACGCCCAGGCGAGTGCTACCCTCGCTCGACATCGACGAGGGCAACCCTAGCCCTCGCCTGAGGCCGACGACCTCCGCTGGCCAAGCACAGTGATGGCTGGGGAGGGAAGAAGAAAAAAGAAAAGAAAAGGAAAGTAAAAAATCAAAAATATATACTTATAATTTTTTTTTTACTAAAATATCCCTTTTCCGACATCGGAATAGTCACCGGCTGACCAAAGGTCCTTATTTAAAACGATTTGGCCACTTCATGCCCTTATTTGAGATAATTTGGCAACTTCAGGCCTTTATTTGAGATAATGTCCACTTCATACTCTTATTTGAGAAAATGACGATGCTTCAAGCCTTTATTTGGAATTTTTCCTTTTTCGGTGGCGTTAACCCTTTCTTGGAAGAAAGTTGCTATTTTGTAAATGATTTCACATAAATACCCAATGGTAAGGTGAGAAGTGGTCTTTAAGGGGCGAAACTCGGGGCGCAGGCTTTTCGAAAATAAAGATTGCAAGGTGATCGTAAATTGAAAAGTGAGGACGGTTTTTGGGAGTTGATCATTTTGTACCAAAAATTTAATTTTTATATAATCGTGGACTCACGAGAAAGTACGTGATTACTAAGGCATGGTCCTAAACCGAAACCTGACCCACCAAACGCAGTCCGACTCCATTAGTTTAACAGGGGAAAAAGGTTAGGTAAGGTCACAGGTGGTGGCCTACCTATCTTTAGAGTAAAATAATGCCGACGGCGCTAATTATGGCGGAGAATTTCCGAAGCTGATCAAGGACAACTGGCTAACGAATTGGAAGGAAATGGTTTCTAATGCTTTTATCGACTTGTAGCAAAATAAATGTTCTCAAATGCGAGAGGAGAGCATAGCAGGAAAGGGAGAATCACCACAAAAAAAATTCTAAGTTCATTGCACTTGTACGGATTCGGAACATTTTAATTGTGTCAAGTATAAAATTTGAGTCCTAAACATATTTATATATTTTTTTGAATTTTTTAATATTTTTTATTTCCTATACTTTTCTTTTTTTTCAATTTAGGAAGCCCAAGATCGAGCACATCAACATATCAAATCGCTTTCACTCAAAAGCTCAAATCAATAAATTATGAGCTAATCATGATATATTTAACTACTCGACACCATATCATCTCTCCAATATAAAATTATTATCACCTAACATCCTCTTGCGTCCATCCCCACATGAAATGTCGTTCCTAATCCACTCTTTACTGCAACCAGAAGAGAATAAAAGTGAAATAGTAACTTCTTGTCGCTCCAATAACACGAAGGGGAACACAATCTAGTATTCTCTTTACGAGGAAAGCATTTCTCACATCTCTTGCGTGATGGGCCACGTTGACAAAGAGTTAATTCACGTTGTCTCTTTCTCAACCGATGGTCAAAAGCTTTCTGGCAAAAAACCGATGGTCGAAAACCTCAGCATGAATGCTACCCTAGATCTCCATGGGAGAAATATCATCTGGACCCCCATATGAGATGGACCACCATTCATCTCATAGGCAGTGCATATCATGACCAGATTCCATCGCCAATCACATCTAGAATTGCAGTTTGGCAAGTCGCATACAAACCCAAAATTGGAATACTGATATGCACGAATTGGGCATTAGAGAGAAACATAAGATAGTCAATTATCATGACCGACGGGGGGATTATGCAGGGATCAATTAATCAAACACAACTCGTGCTTTCTCGATAAAGATCATGTCTTTCCCCAATCGGAAACAAAACTTAAGATAAGGCGTAACCGTGTTGATGCGAGCTAGAGAACTAGAAAAGAAAGATCGAGCTCATTATAGGCAAGATCCATGACTTCGTTACTTCTTTCCTAAGTACAACCCTGAACCATCAACAATGTCAACAAAGAGAAGTGTCAAAAAGCCCCACGAAATTAACTCGCAATGATTAGGTCATTTTCTTGACAATGGTCGACTAACTCCGTAAATCTACATTTAATTGACTGATATCAAAGTTCAAGAATCGCCCAATTATTATGTGACCACAAGAAAGGAGTTGTATCAAAAGCTTCCTTTACTTCATAGCATTCGTTTGAATATAGCCATGAATCTTTCCCTTAGATTAGCAACCAGTCAAAGATATTCCACTCGCCCATGAATAACGCATTGCTCGTCGTTCTTAGACCTCTTTCATTTTCCAGTTGCCAATTTTCGATCAAAACTCTCGCTCATCGAGAATGAAGAGAGGCAGCAATGGAACAATGAGGACTGTCGCCTTATGCAACCACTTGCGCCAAAACCATATAAAGCACCTTCATTTTATCACTCTTCATCCGAATCATGTAGAGTTTTGAGAGAGAAATCGAAAGAATTCACATGGAACTATCAAAGATATACTGCAATTATCTGTAGTATTATATAAGTCCAACTCTTTCTGTTCACAAATATATAAGGAAACCCAGAAGACATCGACAAAAGCAGCCCCGTTTTCCGTATAAATCCCTCCCGCGTCCCAACCTTTACACTCCTCCGCACTCTCCCGAAGCACAAAATGATAAGTAAAGTCCCACGACGACCGGGCAAAACAGGACTGCTTTCTTATTGACCAAATATTACACGCCACAAACAATAATGACACTAATAGGAAGTATCCCCCCTCCCCCAGTAAATCAACACTATGATGGGAAAATAAGTAAAAATTAGATTACGCACCGCACATACAATCAGGAGCTGGATATGTGTATAGGGATTGTTTAGGCTTCCTCAATCTGATTTGACCTTGTCTGTTCTTATGCCCTTCAATGACCGCTTCCTGAAACTCGGACCAGCTGATGTTCTTATTCAGAAAGAGCTGACCCAATAGCGCCATGCTTGGCCTTATGGTCTTCATGCTCTCGTAGGTCCTGTGACCCACCTGTTTACAGCACATACAAATTGTTATCGCCCCATAGGCATCGACTCGAATGAGCATTGCACGTGCTTATAACAATCGGAAATGACAAATATGCAATTGTGAGACTCACCAATGCATTGTGCATATTCCCCGGAGAAGCAGAGATGAAGATGTCGCTGTGCATGCTGACGTAATAATCCACCGCTGCCAGCAAAGAGGCCTTCCCTTTTATCTGGGCTCGCTCCTCTGCGGATGCAAGACTCTTTTTGTCCTCCATCAGTGGAAACATTTTCCTTAGAGTGGAAATCCTAGCTTCTCCGCCATACACCTGAATAGGACAAAATTTCCCTCACTAAGACAACTTCTGTTATGCAGTTTCTTGCGAAATATTAGACTGGTTTTTCTTCTGTTAACACCTTGTGGGAGGCAAGGTACAAACGAGTAGTATTGTCGAAGCCCAATGCAGCAAGCAGCAATCCAATCTCTTCCGGAGTCAATGGGCAACGTCCTTGACTTCGCAGCTCTTCGTCAGTGAACTGAGAGTTAAGTACCCTTCC